TGGAAAAAAAAAAAGTTATCGTGACTCATAAAAACTAAGCGAAACTAAAATCTTAAGAAAGTTTTCGAAAACTCGAAATAGGTGAAATCGAATAAAGGCAAGAGGTTGAGCCAACGCACCTCATCACAGAATAGATTGAAAAAGAAACTTCATCGGACTACTCTTTTCCAAGTCCAAAAACGAATTGAATTTAATTTAGATAGATCTGATAAGAACATACTTATGAATGAGAGAGAGAGAGAGAGAGAGAGAGAGAGAGAGAGAGAGAGAGATAGAGACTTATTTGAAAAATCAGAGAAGTAAGTTCCTTTCATCTGGTCCTTCGTTCTCATTTTGCAGACAACCCGAATGTTCGCATTGACTATGATAGACATGCCTACGGTGTTAACATATCCATATCCTGCAGAAACTCCTTGGTTTCCATTCCTGCGGATTGCTCGAATCGATGAATTTGTACAATGTCTTTATTGTCTTAATTCAAAAATCGAAATACCTGACGCACTCTTAACACATTTGGATAATGGCTGCCAGAAAATGTCATATCTCTATAGTCTTTCTTGCGCCTTGTTTTAAGCTAAAATGCATAAAGATGATATTTGTTGATCGAAAACGGGTTTCAGTCAGCTACTGATCCTAACGGTTCTACAAAGTACTTTTCCTTTTATATACATATGCGTTATATTATTTTGGTAAGTGAGCTTGTGTGCGATGTTAAAAGTGTTCAATGCTTCAATTTACTTTATAACTTTCAAATGGATTTCGTTCAAGTCATAAAGGAGTAGAATTTGAGAAAATTCTTTAAAGAATGGTGATAGTTAGGAAACTTTCTTTAGAGATCGATGAGCGATCTACACTACTACGTTTACCAGCGTTGGAGCAAGTACACTTTGTAAATAGCGCAATATGTATATATTATTCACTCATACAAGATTCTGCGTCAATTTTGTCACATCTGTCTGCCCTTTGTTTCTGTTTTAGTGAAATTTTTCTGTGTTCCCTACAAGATGACGCATCAGTTCACGGTTGTTCAAAGGAACCATACTTTGCCAACAGAGCATGCGTGGAATGTGCGCGCACTTTTCTTTAAAGTGTGCATCGAATTTTTCGCCTTGCCTTACTCTTGTACCAGTTTTTGTTCGCTTAGATGCTTTATTTTGCTAACGATAAAATCTGCTCCATAGATGATTGGTGGCGCTCGTCATAACGCAATAAGTGACTGCCGTACGCAAAATGTTAAACACTTTTCGTTAATTTCTAGATACGATTTTTCAAACGGATTCACTATGCCGGAATAACTTATATAACGTCGTGTTATAAGCGCAAAGCGTTTACGTATGTATTAAGAATATGAGCCGCGCGTTAGTCAGCGGAACACAATATACGAACAAATTGGGAAATATATTAAAAAAACCTGTACTTCTTTAAATCTGGGACATACGCCATTCTATCCCAACTTTAGCTAACTAATGATTCGTAATAGGGTACAGAGTACAGAAACTGCAAAAGTTCTGTCAGACCATTCTACATACTATCCGACCTTCGGTCTCTTTGTCCGAAGTTGAAGTAACAAATATCACATATGCCTTATATTCCGAGTAATCATATCACGTTGGTAAGGGAAATATCTGGGAGTAGGGCGGGTGTACTTCTAACTTATATTCAACCAAGTGAAGGAAGATGATGCCGCTTTTATATTATTATGTTTTATATAATTATTTATATTTTTTAATTCCCGGAAGAGCTGTAACGTTTGACAAAGAAAGAATGTTCCACGAATGTCCAAGAACACTAAAGATGTCGTCACGAATTTTCTTCTCGCTATCAATGGCTATACGATGTAAGAAATGTTTTCTTTCATGCATTTTTCGATGGACCAACATATTAAATACGAACAGCGTCAATGTCTCCAATTTCACTAAACGTGTGACGTGAATGTTTATTAAGCTTTTTATACAATTCCACAATTTCAAGTTATTTTGGCTTTTTTTGTGCCTCCTACGACAGAAATTTATTCAGTCATCCGATATGTGTTAAATGAATTATTTTTTAACTTATATGAAAAAGTCTTTATGCCTATGAGAGGAAGCCTATGAAAGAGAAAAGGAAAATATTTAAGAAAATTTCTAAAATTTTTGTATTTGATTAAAAGAAGATTTTAGAAAATGGATTAGGTCCGTCTATCATACACCACTACTCCGCATTCATTCCATATATAAAATATAGAAACGCATTAATTTCAAGGCAATATTTACCTTTTAACAGCAGTAAAGTATATATTACTCTTTAATTCGTATATGCCTACAATATAATGTACATATACATCGATTCTCATATAATTTATAAATTTAATAATATGTTTTTTTTTTTTTAAATAACATTTTCTTTACATGTATGTATGTGCGCTTGTAAAAGTTCGCATGTTTCCAAAAAAAAAAAAAAAAAAAAAATTAAAAAATCTACACATTTCTGATAAATTATTTTATCGATAAAGGATACAACTTTCATAAATACATACCTACATAACAACAATAACAACATTTGTCTAAAAAGCATTTTTTTTTTTTTTGCCGAGAACAAAAAATTACATATATATATATATATAAAAATATGTCAATATTGCGCGCTTGTGTTGTGTTTAGTGATGATCTATATATATACGTATTGTCAAGAAATTTCAATTAAACATATTTTAACATACTTTCTTAATAATTAATTTACAATAATATATATGCATACGTATGAACTAAATTTGTACGCAAAGTTCACGTTTTTAAATTATTTCCATGAATGAAATTAATTAATTAATTAATTTCTGTGGAATTCTGTAACTAAAATGCTCGTACGGCAGATATTTAATGCTTTGGCCGTTCATTGTGAATGAAATAAATTTCATCATCAATTACTTTACAAGATAATGTAAATGAAGAAGCATTTTTATTGTTATTAGGAAAACTTGATAATGGAATTATGCTTTAAAAATCATTTTGACGGGACGACTGTTATGTCTATTTCAGTCACAGAATTCTAAAACTTTCTTCTGCATTTTATTAATTTTCTTTTTTTATTACTTATACTACTATATACTTGATATGGCTTTTGCACTTACAGAACTATTTAAAATTTTGTAACAGCCATAGTTAACAGATTTTCTAGCAGAAAAACCAGCAATACTTTAAGAGTTGGTAAAGGTTGTTGTAATTTAAAATTAAATTTTTTTCTTTATATGTAATATTTAGTTAGCTGAATTGCAGCTCATTGTGAACTATGTCTCCTTCATGAAGACATAAGATGTACAACTCTATCTTGCACAATAAAACGAGTAATAGAGCTCCTTAGAGATTGAGAGCGTAACGAGGTGTCCCTGGCATGGATAGTTAGTTAGTCATAAGGATTTTCTTCATATCGGATGATAAGAATATGCCTTGATCTCTTATTTAAGGTTACTAAAAGAACCACAAAATGGATAAATCTGTTTAAGATTTTTTTCACTTTTGTAAAGAGAACGCCTAAGGCACATTACTACTTTGCGATCGAGGAAGGGACTACAGTTTCAAACTCGGAAAGAAGAAAAAAGTAGTAGATGTTCTGGCGAAAATCTGTAGGATGCGAGTTCATATGGCTCCAAGTAAGGTAGATACAAAACAGTATAAACACGGCGATGTATATAGAAAGAGCACATTTTATATGGAAATACTACGAAGCCAAAAGTGTGGGCAACTGATGACATGGCAGAAACAAACCAGACTTAAACTACTTTCGAAATCAGTCGTCAAACAATTTCATTAAGAGATAAAACTCTTCCAAACTGCTTTAAAACGAAGTTTGATGGGCGACGAAATGTTATGGGAGTGTCATGACATAGAACAATGAAGAGATTGCTAGACAATAACGGCACTTTATAAACAGTTGGACATGCAGGCAAACACAAGCAACGGCTTTGTTTACAATCTAGTAGAATAAAATAAAATGCATAATATTAGTAAATATTAGTACTAGGAAGATAGGAACACCCGGCCATGAACATTCGCTTGTATCGTAAATTAAGAATAGGTTTAAATTATTTGTAAACAAGCGTAGCTCGCAACGCATATTTATTTATAAGACATAACGAGTTTTCAAAGAAAGGCATCGTATTCGAAGTAATCGAAAAAGTGGCTCGATTCGAGCCATTTTCGGGAGAGCGTTTGGCCCTTGGCCCGAAACACTTCAGGGTCTCAAATTTGATCGAAATATCTCAAAGATCGAGACCGCAAGAAAACTAAGCAGACAGGCGGATAGGCAAGCTTAAATCGATCGAGAAAGTGATTCTGAATCAATCGCTGTAATAATAAGTGGGTCTATCTCAAGTCCTTCTGGGTGTTGCATACTCTGGCCGAAACTTAATACATTCCTATACCACAAGTGGTGTAATGTATAAAAAAGGAAAGAAAACATTCGCATGAGTTGTTGGCGGTTTTACATCGACTTCAGTTATTAAGGTCGGTGAAGAAGCAATGCAAAGGTCAATGCGAGAAAAGTTATTAACATTATTTATGCATGACAGGCGCTAATGAAGAATTATTAAAAATGAGGAGAAAAAATAACAATCAGGACTATTTGGAAATAACTAATTCAGGATGCAAACAAGACGGACAAACAACCGACAGACAAATCGCCAAACTTTCAGGAATATAAGGAAGAGTCTAAAGATATTATATGGAATTTGGGGAACATACGTGACAACGCGATTATGTAGATGAACTGGGAAAAGGAATAGACGTTTGCACATCCAAAGCAACTCACAAATAGGACAGTGTTAGCACCGCAAGTTGCCAAGAAAATCGATATTTGGACTAAAAGTATGTAATAAAAGGAATTGAACAAAAACAAGTCTATAAACTGAAATAAACGATATTCACTTTGTGTTCTTAAAGGCTTAAAAGCTCTTCTTCACTTTGTGCTCTTATGGATGCTCTTTTTTGCGGTGATTTCGTTATGTAAAGTAAACTAAAAAAATTTTATTTAGATGACGTGAAAATAACTTAAATCTTATTTAGTTTCTATTCCTATTCATATTAATATGAATCAATATCTTAAAAGCATCGTATTTATATTGATGAAATTATTTAATTAAAAGTTAGTCTGTTTTATACCGAGATTGGATCGGTCTTTGATAAATATGCAAAAAAAAATGAATAATGAAAAAAGTTTTGGGATAAAAAAAATAAAAAATATATATATGTATATATTAATTTTAATGTAATATTTTCGTTTGTCTGATGCTGATAACGAAGGGTAAGAATTAATGTTTAAAATAAAGCCAGATATTGATATGTTTTTAAATTCTTTTCTCTTTTGCTCTCGGATGGGAAATATTATTATTAATATTGTAAGTAAATGTTTACTGCATTGCAAGCTTATAAAAACATATCACATAACAAAATAATGGTATAACATAGACACACAAACATCTTACTATATAACGATATATAGATATATATAGAGATAATAAAATAAACATTAAAACTTATTTATTTGAATTTATTAAGCAAAACACGAACGTAGGAAAGTAAGTATGTATCGATTGTGTATGTGTGACGTGAACGGCAACCACTTCGAAATTATACATACTTTTGCGATGTTTGCGGCTCGTTTTTGTTCTTATCGTTATTGAATTTTTAATTTGCATTTATAGACTGTTAAGCTTATGGCTGATATCGTCCTTAGTCTCTATACATTTTGCTTAACAATTATTATTATTATTATTAAGCAATTAAGCAATGAAAACGTTACGTTATGTTACGTTACGTTACGTTACGTTCGTTTAAATCCTAATCCGTAAAACCCTATTAAAAAAAAATTATGATGACATTAAAATAACTTAAGCTATTAAGTGAAAGTGGTAGCGTCGTTTTCAATGACACTACCATGGCGCGTTGATAACAACCATAACAATGTCAATGAAAATCAGCACATTGTTTCATTGTAGGGCGGATCCTTTTCCGATTCAGTGCTGCTTTTAATGTTTGACGAGAGTTTCGCTATTTCATCTTGAATCAAGTGAGTGCTAATTTGTGGTATGGCAACAGCAGCTGCTTGGTCGCCGTCTTTGGATTCTTCGGTGCTCGAACTGCTCTCTTTTAAGATATTCATACCCAATTTACTGGTGAGAGGTGGTTTAAGAGAGGAAAGCAATTTAGCTGGGACTGAGGTGGGTAAAACAGCGCCACTACCAGTCGAAACAGATGCTGGATCCAAGTCAGCAGTGTCCATTTCTAAATGTTGTGCTAATCTAACCGTTGGTGGTATAGGCGGGGGCTGTTGCTGTTTACCTTGGTCCAAGCTAAACTGTTTCTTCAATTGCAGGGCTCTGGGTGGTGGTTGCATCTGCGGAATCATTACCCGTTGATTGAAATCTAAAGAAATTTGGGCCGCATCTTTTAGACGTGCTGAAGTACTAAGACTACCACCACCTAAGCTTATACCACTCTCCAACACGGTAGGCGTGTTTTGTGACTGCGAGAGAGACTGTGATTGAGTATCGACTGCATCTAGTGATGGTTCAGCTGTGAGCGAAGGCGTGTCCACGTTGTAGGAGCCGGTCATTGAGGTGGTGGTATCATTTGAACTCTGTTTAATGAAGCGGTAGGGATGAGCGGAATAGTCCGTGTCGGTACTAGAATTCTTTTGAAGGCTTTCACTCGATTTTTTGAAAAATCTGCTCGTACTTTCGTAGGGGGGATTGAGAAATTCGCTGGTGGCTCTTTGCGGCACCAGAGGCGATTGATATGTTTGCTGTTGTTCCATTGATGAATTACGTTGCCAAGGGCGTTCATGTCTTACTTGGAAGCCGCCAGATTGCACACCGGCCGCAGTTCCGCTTGTATCACTGCTGTCGCCACCGATTCCACCACTTCCCGTGGTAGGCTTAGATGGCGATAATTCTATGGCAGTTTCTCTTCTTAGTGGGTATCGGTGACCGTAGTCTACCGATGCAGCAGCCTGGAAAAACAAAATTATAAGACTTTCGAATAAATCGGAATTTTTTATTACTCTCGTCGGTTTGCCTTTCTTACATCGTACGAATCGTCAGTGTCGTCGATTGAAGTTCTAGCTTGAAAAAGCCCCTCAAGCATCATATAATCATTTTCCTCACATTCTTTCAAATGTTGTTTTTCCAGAAGAGCGGCAAATTCTGCTTTTGACATATCAGTCTTTGGACGATCCAATGAAGCTGAAAGAAGAAATATCGAGAAACGCAAGTGAAATTTTTCAGTACAAACTTTCAATTATATACTTTTGTGACTCTGCAGCGATACGGTGGGCGACGCTATCATATGGCAAACGCTTTCTAATTCATCGGTTATGGAAGTATATTCACTATGCAATTTCAAAAGTATATTTCTGCAAGGTCGTGAACGCAGCACTGCTTTGCCTACAAATATGTGATCATGTATCTATCTCAAGCGAACTTCAAAATATTTCTTACCGGTTGTAGCGCCTTCCTTATCGCTCTCTGGTTCAGATTGTGTAAGACTCAATTGTCGGCGCGGTAAATGTAATTGGTTCAGACTTATATGCGAACGGCTAATGTCAGCGATAATAGAGCACGTCTCAGAGTTTCTACGACACAAGGAAACCGTGCGTTGACGTATCGCTCGATGCCTGGCAGCTAATAAATATTTCAAATATGAATTCATTGAAAATAAATATTTGCTTTGGTATATCAAGTTAACCTTCAAAGTTGATTTCTGGTCCCGTTTCATCGGAATTCTCACCAACCAATGTTTGATCATCGTCATGTCCTAATGGTGTGAGAGTGTCTTTGCTTTCCGTACTCGCACCGGTATCTTGTCTTACTGTTACGTAGGGTGTTCTCTTGATCGTCTCACAGGTCGAAGGTCGTTGCGATAGTGGTACATAAACGTCCGAATCTGACTCAGATTGTACGGATACTTTTCTTACTGCCTGCTCTTCAACCGAATCTTTTGCTTTAATCATTTCGTCAGTTTCCTCCGGTACTGGTACCACTTCAAAATGAGTACCTTCATCGAAAATATACGCGTCCGGTCTCACCTCGGTCAATGAGCGATTAAAGCGACGTCGATTGTTTACCTAAATAAATTTAATCAATATTCTTGAGTGCATGTCAATAGAACGTTTACTTCTTAACAGCGTACTTGTAAATTGAGTTGGCCCCCTGTTCCTACTCCTGCTCCACCACTACTACCGCTACCACCATTACCACCAATTATCCCAATACCACCTTCGTTATCGGATATGGAAATGGTGCGCACACGCCCCAAGTCACCCGGCAAATTCGCATTTGAGGCACTGATATCTTCCGGTCCTATTGTATGCATAGACATAAAGCGGTGTATAACTGCTAGGTGAGCCAATATTTGTTCCGACGATTCCTCCATCTTTCGTAAACGAAATTCTATATTCTGCAAATTTACAGTAAATATACAAACAAATATACTGCACTATGATATTTTTAAAATACATAACGCGGATAAGACAAGCAAGTAATTAAACTGACAGCCAAGAAACCAAGAAACCTAAGAGTATCCTCATAGGAATCTCATTATAAACTCTAGCCTTATAACCGAGTAAAAGATTATTTTGTTTGGCAGATAATGTGATATTAAAACTGTATGTGGATTTGCATCAACGGCATAAGAACAATTGGCAGACACCGTCAAGATATAGTGAAACGTGGTTTCGTTTCTTACCAGGAAGCAAGTTGATCTGAAGATTTCTTCCCACTTACGTTACGATAAGCTAACGCAGTAATTATACTTTTACAGAACATGTCAGCGCTTCCCCAAAAAAATGGTTAAGCCGGCCTTTATGCTACAACAATATAACGTTTTTTTTTTTTTCCAATATTCTGAATACGAAAGTGTGGAATGCTATAGCGACTTGGGCTTGCCCTATATTTTCATATATATGTGTGCGCGGAGTATAATTGCTTTGCTTCTTTTTAAGTGAAAGCTGAAAAGCATTAGGGAAGACATGCTGGACTTACAATGGATGATTGGAAAAAAATTAAATGTAATTAAGCATAACTTTGTGTGTGCATGGCTGATTGTTCCTATTTTTGGACGTAAATAGAAGAGTGCTTCGTAAAGTAAATGTGGAAAATTTCAGCCTTCTAACCTTAATAATTTCCTAGTAACGGGCAAAAATTTTTATTAGACAAGATGGAGTTGCGTTCAGTTTACGTTCCACTACGCGCTTCTGCTCGGATCAATTTGGCCCGTTTTCAATAACAACCTGCGTATAGAAACTTCCAATATTTCCATCAAATTTGAAGCCAATATCTTCATTTTTGCCACCAGGACAATGCCAACAACACACACTATACAGACGGACAGACATGGCTTAGTCAATTCGCAATCTCGTGCTGATCAACAAGATATACACTTTATAGGGTTTCTGAAGCTTGCTTCTGGATTTTGTAAATATTATGACCGGCGAGCATAAGAAAACTCGGACGGACGGACATGGCTAAATCAATTCAGAATTTCACGCTGATCAAGAATATATATACTTTACAAAGTCTCTCAAGCGTCCTTCTCGGTGTTGTCAACGTTATGGCAATACGAGTGTACCCTGAGCCTCCAGTGCTGGGTGTAAAAGAACAAACTTTTGATTGAAATATGGACAGACACACAGACACACAGATGGACAGACATGATTAAATCAACTCAGAATTTCAAGCTAATTTTCAAATTTATATAGGGTCTCTGAAGTTTCCTTTTGGGTGTTACATATATTATGGAAGAAAACCAAACGAGTACACTCCCATCTACCACAGTGGTGGGTATAACAAGAAAAACGTTAATGGCGCTTAATGGATTCTTCGATCAGTATGGCGTCAAATGCGATGATTTATTGGACAAACCGCTAATTAAAAATCAGATACAGAGATGCAAAGTTACCGATTGACGTCATTGGAAATCGAGCGAACCAAAATGACGTTTAAGAAGGTCATAGCTATTGTCCAATTGATTCTGCATATTGACATGTTGAAGACATTGGCTATTTCGAAGGTACTATAAATTTTTGTGCTAAAAGTATTTGAGAAAGTAAAAGCGATCGAGTTCAGCAGATGGGCTTGTTATTCAGGTCGCATATAATAAAAATAATCGCGAAAAATCTTTATACCTCAAGTCACTGGTGGTACAGGATGGAAGCCTGTAATAGCTTGAAGAAGTGGAAATAGATCCACTTTTCATTATATCGGTCGATTCATAAAGAGATTTACTAAGAAATAAGCCTATCTGTCAGTCTGAGATCCGTCCATTTATTCTTGTAATCATATGGCATAAAATTGTTAAACTTACCCGTAGGGCATTTAGATCGCAAAGGACTGCTTTTTAGGGCGGAATATAGATATAGGGGTTTTCATGAAAAGTGAGTCGTTATATGACGAAAAGATCTCATTTACGCTTCAAAAATAATAAAATCTTTGATAAGTAAATAAAGTTTTGTGATGTTTCGGGCATCATGTGAGTTTTCATGAGAAGTATGACCTCACATGAGAATTATGCCCAAGTGTTGGTTCACGAAAATAAATGAAAAAATACATCAACTGAGCGATGTTATATAGAGTGTCCATTGGTCGGCCTTATGCATGATTGTAGTGCTCCTACTACTACTTGTTTGCGCTTTAACAGTTTATTGATCTATCCTTATAAGCGAAAGAACAATAATAATCTCGTTCCAAATTGTAAAAGGTTTGCATGCATTTACTTAAGGTTGCATAGCAATTCTTTGCTAATTGAACTTTCGCTTACACATACATACATACAAACATACATACATATGTATAAATGTATATAAACTTGTATAAGAGAGTAATTGGATAATTTGTGCCGCAAGCGAACTTTAATTAACTAACCGAGCTCGTGTCAATGTCATCAACAATGAAAATTTGTATCTCTTTTTTGTTGAAAACTTACCTGAACCGTAGCTGTTTGAAGATTTTCTTTTTGATTTATATCTTCTATCTTTTGAGACATTGTCTCAACACGTTCCGTAGTATTTTTGACGCGTTCTTCTGTCGATTGATTTAATATGATTTCTTGTTCATGGAAAAATCCCTCCACGCATTCCTCTTCAAAGTCATATAAACGTTCGAGGTCATCTTTTTCAAGAAATAATTTCAAACCATTGTCACGCTGTACTTCCAATCCTAAACGTAACATAATGATACGATTGAATGGAGACCGACAAATGAATATGACACATTGACATATACGCATACACATACACATACACGCACATACATGTAAATATAAATAACATATTTTACAAAGAAATGATTTTAGAGAGCAGACCGTAACCAATTTTCGAAAAAATCGATTTTCATATGATTTTTAATGAAACATTAATTAGTCAATTATGAAAGCGTACGTACATGCATAAACGTATACATATATATATATATATATATATATATTTACACATAAATATAAATATATAGCCATCAATCACATAATTATTTCACATAAAAAAAATTTTATTCAAATTTATTTATTATGAGATCCATTGTTAGAACGCGATGAATAGGAGTTCCGTAATCAATAGTCGCCAACCGTTTACCAAATGGTTTCATATAAAGCATTGTCAGTAAATTGTTTATTGCAAAAAGAAAAGCAGGCCACACATGCATACCAACACCCGCAACATAGCCATTTACATATTTTGTTTCAGATTAGATTGAGGGGATTCGAGTAGAATTAATTGATGGGCAGTTTGAAGCGGTCAGTAGTAGTAGTAGGTTATGAATTTTTTTATTTTTTTTTTATGTTGTAGTCACGGATACAAAGTAATATAAAGTAGCACAAGCACAAATCGATTAAAGCAAAAAGTGAGAAAAAAAAACAAAAGAAACGTTAATTGTTAAACATTTTTCACGATCTTTTTAATTAAAACTCACAGGGAATAAAACTTAACTTTCTCATCCCTCTCTCACCTTTCGCTTTGCGTACACAATACTTGAGCAGTGAATAGAAATGACAAAATGCAATAAATGGTGGCGGTAATACCGGTTTCTGTTGGTATTCCATCACGACGGTGAATCGTTGAAACATCCATACCTTGGTATCAAAAAAATATAAAAAAAAAAAAAAAAAAGAAGAGCAAGACAATAAATAATCTCTTAATTACAATTAGCCTTCAGCTTTACCCACCTGATGTGAAACGGAGTTGACTTCATTGAAAATATTGTTAAACACTGCGATTAGCAAATTGATGAGCAATATATTCGCAATTAACAAATACATTGACATTGTTATCGGTGTCACCCAATGTCCTGCAAAAAATCAATTAATGTATGTCGCACTACACTTCACTCATGTATTTTCCATTCATTAATATTTCCAATCCGAATGTAAATCCCTGAAGAATATGTACAAATGTAGCAGAGAGCAGAAAAATGCCAGTTTTTCAGAGAACGAAAGAGAGAACAACGACGAAATCGTCTACGACTTCTCTCTCAAGCTATTTAAGATGTACATTGCTAATGAAAATCTACAAACCGTGGTTTGGAATGACAGCAAGTATAGAGATCAAGGAAGAGAAAGCTAACTGAGTTGTGATGACAAAAATGGGGATATTTTGTTATCTGTGAACTTAATGAGTTCTTTAATACGCACATGTATTTGCATATAGATTAGACAAGCCTTTGTCGTGATCGCTACGTCGAGTGCGGCAGCTAAGCTGCAGGATCATTGAATTTCTAGCCATTTTCCACATCGTCATCGAGAGTTTGTGGTTTGTTGGTGCGAACCAATACTAATTAATATAAGTTTACATAAAAATTTCTAGAGATTACGCAGTCATTGAACCTCCATGTCAACGAGTTGATTATATTACGAGACGTACGGCGAACTCTACAGTTCTTTATAAAACAACTTTTTAAATTAAGGCCCTAAGTGGTTAAAGAAATGGTTAGATTGTGATCTGTCGGTTTCCTTTCAAATATTTCAAAAATTGCGACCTGTAGGTTGAACACAAGGAAGTAAGATGGGCAGAGAGACGAACAACTTTAAATCCTTCTGGGTATGGTTGAACACAAGGAAGTCAGTTGGGCAGAGGGACGAGCAACTTTAAATCCTTCTGGGTATGGTTGAAT